CAATGTATGCTCTTCTAGATTTTTTCAGTCTCTTTTGGAATTTGTATTTTACTTTGTCTTTCTTGAGCAATGGGCAGTCCAGTTTGTAGTGACCAGGTTTTCCATAGTTGAAACATGATCCTCTTGATTTAGATTTCTTACCTTCATCTTGTCTTGAAGGATTTGATTGGCTTCTATAATTGATGAGATTTTTGTCCAACTGTTGGACTTCATTCTTTCAGAGATATCTATGATATTTCCTCACAAACAACCCCATGTATTCACTTGAGCTTTCATCATCATAACTAGAATCACTCACACATGAGTTATTGGTGGAGGCCTTTTAGCTTGAAGCATTTAATGCAATAGAATTATTTTCCATGTCTTTTGGTTTTTCTTTATTTTCCTTTTTCTTGTGCTTATTGAGATTTATGAGATCTTTCTCATGCTCTTGAAGCTTCCCAAACAATGTTGTTATGTCGAGCGTAGCTAGATTGTTGGCTTCCTTGATTGCTATAACTAGACATCTTAAAATTTTGTTAGTAGTAACAACATTGGGAGTAACATGACCAAGAGTGTGTAAGCGATTGATTATATGAGAGAATCTCTTTTGCATGTCCGCAATGGTTTCACCATGCTTCATGTGAAAGAGATCAAACTCTTGAGTTAATGTATTGATTCTAGAAAGTTTAACAGCATTTGTCCCCTCATGGGAAATTTGTAGAGCATCCCACATTACCTTAGCAGTAGCACAATGTGAAACTCTAAAATATTCATCAACGCCTAAAGAAGAAATAAGCATATTTCTACCTTTCCAATCATAACTATACTTTTTCTCATCTTCCTCATCCCATAGTGCTTTCGATTTGGGTATGGAGATGTTATCCTCATTAGTCATGGTTATTTGCATAAGACCATCCTCGATAACTTTCCATATCTTTCTATTAATAGAGTGAATGTGCACACGCATACAATCTTTCTAATAGCTATAGTTTTCACCGGTGAAAACAGGAGCTCTCGTATAAGCCCCTTTTGGATCGTTCTCCATATTCTACAAAGTAATATTTGAAGCACCAGATGAACAGGTGCTCTGATACCACTTGTTAGACGATGTGATCGATCTAGAAGAGGGGTTGAATAGATCGTTTAAAATTATTTGTGCTTTTTGAAATTGTTTTTCAGAAATATATACGAAAGCTCCCGGAATCTCCAATCGTCTAAACGATCCTCTATTGAAAAGGTCGGATATGCATAACCATATGGGATAGAATGACAAAGTAAGAATCAACGTGTTTTACTCAATTAGTCAATCACTTATACACCCTTAATGAATATGAATTACTTCCAATGAATTGATTAAGATAAAGCTAAACACAATGAATAATTTGTGAATGAGTCAATTTGTCAAATACCTTATGAGCAAAGTACCATAGGTTTGATTTTACTGAATTGTAGTGGTGAGTTTTCTTGGGTATCAATCAAAAGAGTTGTTACCAATATTGTGAAATAATCACAACACACCATAATTTCAGTACATGCAAATTTGACAAGTTAATTTTCACAAATTATAGTAATCAAGTATGGAGATAAAGAAAAAGAAGAAGAACACATGATTTGTTAAGGCAGATCCCCTTGTTGTCTTCGTATAGGGTACGTCTGCCCCCAATTATAGAATCTAGAATTGAGATACTTGATATTAAGTTGCAAATGTTACAAGATAAGAGATAGTTCATAATACAAACAAACCAATATTGCTGATGTAACAGTCTTCTTCCCTTTCCTTGGTTTGAGCAAAACCAAGTGCCAAATACTCCGAACAAACCTCCGGTTACCACTACTTGATTAAGAAAACCCACCGTTTCTTAATCCTTTACCTCGTCTGATTTCGATGGAAAGAAATTTGACCCCAAATAAATCTTCACAATCCTCCGGTTACCGCTACTTGATTAAGAAAACCCACTGTTTCTTAATCCTTTCACTCGGCTGAATTCAATGAAGCAAAGATTTATGCAAAAACCCCCGCACCAATAGGAATCTTGGAGGAGCAAATCCAAACGATTTTATTCAAGAAAAACCCACAATTTCTCAACCCAAATATGAATTGAATCCTTGATTTGAATGTTATCACCACAACACTTTTCTTGAATCAACAACCATGATCATGTGTAGATGTTGATTTTTGAGAAGAGAGGATGAAGATGATGAGCACTATGTGTATCTTTCACTGGTTCTTGTTAACTTGAAATGGTGATGCACAATATATATATATATATATATATATATATATATATATATATATATATATATATATATATATATATATATATATATATATATATATATATATATATATATATATATATATATATATATATATATATATATATATATATATATATATATATATATATATATATATATATATATATATATATATATATATATATATATATATATATATATATATATATATATATATATATATATATATATATATATATGTTACCTAATATTCAAGACCCATAAGCATAGCAGATAAACAGATGAAAGCAGGGAGCGCTCGACTCAAACAGAAAGGGGGGTTGGCGCGACACAACCCGCAGAAGAAGGAAAAACCATTTTGAAGTGCAGTGCTTTGACCGCTTCAGGGCTTGCTTCGACGTATTAAATATTTTGATTCCCAGGTTGAGTCGACCGGAAGGGTCGACGTGAGACATCCAGCAGGTGGAGGAAAATCCATTATGAAGTATAGTGCATCGACCGCTACAGGGTTTGCATCGATACAATAGTTGAATATTTTGATTCCCATGTTGAGTCGACCGGAAGGGTCAACCTGACACATCCAAGGCTTGGTTGAAAGTGATGAGTCGACCACACATATCTTTGAGTCGACACACAGATTGAATTTTCTCAAAAATAAATGTTTCTGGAGATCTTCATTCCAACCATTCCACAACAAGATTGTTCATAGGACCAACCCGAATTAAGAGTGAGCAATGATCGTTTTGACATCATTAAAATACTTATAGAGGGACCTTTCTCTCACACTTAAGAGAGATAAAAGAACCTTACAACTCAAGGAACACAATCCAACTCACATGTCGAGTGGATCACACATACCAACTCTCATAGAGAGTGGCTTACAGACTCGACCCTAATAACTACATCTTTTCATTCACGACTGGTACCATCTTTTAGGTTACAATGCTTCTATTTATAACCATTTTTCCAACTGGATTTGGGCTTCATATCACAATATATCAGTTGCTATAAATCAGCAGAAACTTCTGCTATAAAATAGGTCTTCAAGCAAATCTTTCCTAATTTATCTCCATAATTAGAAAGTCAATATTCTTCTTGATTATGAATTGAATCTTCCAGACCTATAAAATAATGCCACATAGGATAGCATAATATTCCCAGAATATTCTGCATATGTTAAATCATGAACTGATCCAACAGTCCAGCCCAGTACAAACGCGATGTCGAATGATCATGCATAGGACATCTGATCCGGCATGTTACTCCAGATGATGAGAACTTCTCATCTCAACATGTCTCAACATAAAATACGACTTCTTGTTTAACCTGTTCTTCTTAGAAAGTAAACACATCCTATTAATCATATTGGTGCTATATTTGTTTTACTAAAATTAATGTCAATCCTAAAAATAGAGAACTAACAAGTACAATAGATGTGAGAGGTGTGAATACCTTCCTCTTGCGTAATCGACTCCCGTACCCTTTCTCTTGGTCACGAGACCTTGATGATTTCCTTTCTTTGGTTTACTCAATGTTTTCCTTTCTCTTCTTCGGGTTAAATAACATTCGATGGCGGCTTCATTGTGTTTCGATATTTTTCACAGTAGCGAAACACGCGAGCAGACATCCTGTCAAAACTGGAAAACACAAAGAGGAAAGGAAGAAACAAGTCCGTGATCCAAGAAATACTTCCCCGTCCAAGCATCGAAAACCGGTCACAGCCCTCGACGTATACGCCATCGGCGACAACTATTGTTGGATGACATTGATATACAACTACCTCGCGACGGGAGAGTTTCCCTCCGACCAGAAAGAAACCTACGTGGTCAGACGTCAAGACTGTGTTTACGCCTTAATCGAGGACAAGCTATACAGATGAGGATTCTTGACCCCTCTCCTCAAATGTGTCGAGGAATCCAAAGTCGCCAACATACTACGCGAAATCCACGAAAGAAACAACGCCCAACATCCTGGGGGAAGATTCCTCGTGTAATACCTGGTTAAATTAATAAAGTCGCCACTATTATTTATTTGTCTTAAGGATAAGAAGCCTAATGGAAAAACCCTAATTTTATGGATAAGGCGGTCATTATAACTAAGTCAAGGATCCGAGAGTCAATTAAGCAAGGGGAAGGTGTTAGGCACCCCTCACTTCCATTGTACTCAAGGGGAATCTCTAATTTCAGGGTATGGTGTGTTTGCTAAAGTCTGACTGTCTAATGCCTAAGTTTGTTTTATTCAATAATTACAGAAAAAAAGAGAAAATATTTTAATTATTAGCTCGTCAGGTTTCTCCATGTGCCTAAGTATCTTTGGGGGGAGCAAAGAGAAATCAGAGTACTGTAATTCGTATGTGTTTGATTAGTATTTTTTATGGAATATGACGAGGTCACCTTCGAGCGATAAACTTATGACACACTCACACAGAGGATTTAGGTTAGCTTCTAGTTCGCATTTAAGGGATTCACTCAATTCTTTTTTGAAAATGATATTGATTTGAATTATGTTAGTAGAAAAATAAGTTTAGAATTGATTAGCTGATTTAACTTAAACTAAAGGAACGTGTTTTTTTGTTATGACTTAATTTATTTAAGTATAATTAACTGAATTAATCAACTCAACTAAATCCTAAATAACTTAATAAAGAGGACTTAAGAAAAACTAGCTAAAATTATAAAACAACCAACTAAAAAATAAAACCCACATATAGAATCAAAAATAAATACCAGAGAGGGGGTGTTGTTGTAAAAAAGATCCAGATGCAATTAGTAAAGGGAAAGGCCAATTTCAAGGCCCAAGGCCCATTAAGGAAAAAAAAACTAATTCTTCTTCAATTTACAGGGACTAGAACACACTTCAATCTTCTATTCTCTCTCTGTAACTTTTTTCTTCTTTCTAAAACAACACAGACCACTTCCTATCTTTCAAGGGCAAATAACCAGTACCATCAAACCCACATAGAAACAGAGAATAAGCAAAATCCAACGGCACCGTCGGTTATTGCCTTGTGGTGGTTTGGTATAGCGGAGATCTGGTTGTAGGTTGGCGGTCCGCGGCGGCGTAAAGGGTGCGACTATCGGAACCGGGAGCGCGGCGGCCGGAAGATTTGAAGGAGAGGTACCGTGTGTTGTTTGCGGCGGACATGGATGGTGGTCGCGGTGCCGTCCGGGAACGGCTTCAAGCGTGAATAGTGATGAGCCACGGTGGTCAGAAGGGTGGTCATGAGTCAGATCTGGGCGGCCGGACGATTTGAAGGAGAGTACCGCGTGATGTTGTACAGCCGAAAAACGCGGTAGAAAGTCTGAGCATCGGTTATAGTAAAGAAAAAAAACAAATATTACTCTGACTGTTTGGTTCTTTTCTCTTTTAAATATTTTTTAGGTGACAAGCTAAACATAATTTGCACTATATGAACATGTGCACCAAATTACCTAACGAAAATTAAATGCATTACATTCTGTGAAAAAAAACTATCGAATAGGAAAAAATAAATTGTAATTCAAACCAATTAACTATACAAGCAAAACTAGATTTTTTTTTTTGCAATAACCTAGTATTAAAAAAAAAATCACAAATAATCATGTTTCGAAAAAAATTACGTAAATAATAATGTTTGGGAAAAAATTATGCAAATAATCATGTTTCAGATGACTCTCCATAGGAGGAGCCATCTCACTTGGCGCTTACACCTATTTTTTAAGGGGAAGCGCCATCTCACTTAGCGCCTAAGTGTTTATGGCTTGCCCTACTTAGTGCATTTCTAGGGTAATTTTTGCGTTTTTTTTTCCAATTCGGTGCGTTGCGTATTTGATATAGGATCAACAAAATTGACTTTTTATTTATAAAAAATGATTACACTCCCGCATCTCCGTCATCGCCTTTCCTATGTTGGGTATCGTCGCGTTTCTTGCCGTGGCAGGGTCGATGACCCAACGAAGCCAACGCGTTCCGGATCAATGAAATCAGTCAGATCTCCATATCTAGAAGATCCGCTTTGGTACAGTTGGTTACCCATACCCTCAAAGTTTAGTCGTGTTGGCAGTGGGTGGGGTTCCATGGTGGGTCTGTAGCATTGATCGTCTGAGTACGAGGGTAGAAAGGAAATGGATCTTGGGGTGTTTGGTATTGAGGATGTTGGGTGGTTTGGTGATACTGTGGTTGATGGTAAGTTGGGTCGGTTGGTTCATAATCTTCTGACATTCTCAGATTAGGGCTAAGGCTGGATGTTGAGGGGCCCATATTGGGATATACAGATGTTTACCGTGGTTATTGGTAAACAACCGCTGATCCTCCAAATGGTTACTTATTTGGTTACTCGCAGGATCGATCAGATTGATCCTAAGACGAGGTTGATTTTGAGGTTTTGATTAAGTTGGATAAAGGTTAAATGACGAGAAAATAAAGAGGCTTTAAGTAAATTGCATGAAGAAATGGGCTTGATAAAATAAATGAAGGCTTGAAATAAAGGGCTTCGACAGGAAAAGTAAAGAAGAAAGCAAGTAAAGTTTCTGGAAAGTAAATGACTTTGATTAATAAAAGTGGTGTTTCACACATACATTCTCAACAATTCTTTCTCACACGCTGGGTACTCGAATCTATATGAGTGACTTTGTATATAATTGTGAACACACGCGAAAAACTGCGTGACCTACTACTATTTATAATAAAATATCCCAAGTAATCGTCGGGCAGTTACACTGCTTCGAGATGACTCCACTTGGCACGTTCTCAGCGTTCGACGCTCCAGATCTTTGCACGTTGCACTTGGTAACCGCTGGAAACCGTTTTCCCTCCAAACGTTTGAATTTCAAACCGTTCCACTCTGAACCATCGAACACCTTCGTCGAGAAGTATCTTCGACGAGAAACACCTTCGACGTCGAAGGCAACCAACTTCTCCCTTGGAAGAAATCCTCTAAGTACATTGCTATCTTTCGATGGGCATTTCGACAGACCCAGCTGGTCGAAAACATCCTTCAACTTTAATAGCTGATATTAATAAAAACAAGGGTGTCGAATTTAGGAGCCAACAAATTGCCCCCCAAGAATGCCTTATTTCGGCTCTGAAAGAAAAAGGCATTCTTTGAAATGCCATTCGACACCTGTCTTTTCATTCTTAGTCACAAATTAAATTGTGCATTTTTTTGTCTTCTACCAACCACTGACAATCCCAAGGAAAAGCCATCATTTCATCCGTACCTAAGACGTCACTTCAGTACGGCGTGCAGCGTGCCAAACGTCTTTTCACAAATTGTCATCATGACAATTCCCAAAAACGAGGGCGCACGCTGCACCCTTTCATTTCTGCAGAACGGCTACAACAACAGGGAGACGCCACGTGTCCCACTACCTTCTGCAACATTAAATGGCATTAAATGTCCTCGAATTTGGGGATTTCCCCAACTACTATAAATAGCGCCAAGTACCCATTGTGGGACTTTTTCACGCTACCTTGCCCTCAGATATTCCTCATTGCATACAAGCTCTTGCCACCTTTGTAAACCACCTGTTCTTCACTTCATCTTCAACCTTAGTATCAACAATGGCATCTGGTTCTTCCAACGCTCCTAGCGCCAACACTCCCTCTGGAAATGTCAAACCCAGGATTTTCTCCACTGCTCCCGTAGTGACTCCCACGGGCCAACGAAGGGTCCCTGAGCCTTTGGACATTGCTGTACGTGATGCTTATTCACGCCACCTCATGATTCCGGTTGGATATTCCAACCAAATCTTTGCCATGTCTGGCCCATTATACCCAAGCATTGCTGAAGCCATGAAGATCAAAAGCTACTTTCCGGTACTTGAAAAACTCAAACCGGTTGGATGCTCCAAGAAAGATGCAGAGGATAATGAAGATCCTGCTAAGGAGAAAATCGACCTCCGTTTCTTCAATAGAGGTGTTAGGGCTTTCAGGTCTAGCCCTAGCCTCACTCCTGATTATAGTGCTTGGCTGGAAAAAATGGAGAGACGCCAGGCTTTGATCTGGAAAGACATGGGGATATTCGACCTGGTTATGTTGTCGAAGACGGGTCTTAACTATTCCCCAGAAATGTTGATAGCTTCCTTACTCTTCTGGGATTACACCCATTTCACCTTCCATCTTCCCTGTGGAATGCTGACTCCCACGCTCTTCGACGTGGCCGCCATCACTGGCCTTCGACCCACTGGGGACTACTTCGACCCAGAGGAAATGTCGGAGGATCAGATTGGATTCTCTGCCACAAAACCAACCTACACCACCTTTATCAATCACTACCACGATAAGTCGACGGACGCTGTGTCGGATGTGGAGCATATCGCGTTTCTAGCCCTATGGCTGTCACGCTTTGTGTTTTGCACCAAGTATTTACAGGTGACCAAGAAGATGGTCACTCTCGCCACTCAACTCCACCATGGCCAAAATATCTGTTTGGCAGAATTGATTTTGGCGAATCTGTACGAGTCGATTAGCAACGGAGCGACTCTTCTGAAGATCATCGAGAACAGAGCCAGTCTGCTGCTTGCTGGACCTTTTTGGCTGCTTCAGCTGTGGCTCAATTCCACCTTCGAGTCTTTCTTGCCTCAGAAGACTCAAATAAATGAGCAGGCTCCAGAAATAGCAAATAGGTGCATCGAAGGCACCAGATTGGCTCTGCTGACCCCAACGGAAGATGGGCTGGAGCTTCAACAAACTTTTACAAACTTCGTCTTGATGTTTGCAAAAAGGAAAGAGTTTGCTTCGACCATGGCTCCGTTTGCTCGACGAAAGGTTGGCCCGAAGTGGTTCACGAGGCCACATCCTAAGGCGTCAAGTGGTCCTCAGGTCGAAGAGCATACAACAGTGTGGGAGGCATTTCTCACACCAAGAATAATGCCCCTGCGATTCAAGAGCTCCAAGACTCACTTGAGTCTAATCGCGTATCAACCAAACTTGGTGTCTCGCCAGTTTGGTATTATTCAAACACTTCCTTCTCCAATTTTTCCCAGGGAGAAGCCTATGTTATACTTTTGCAACGACTACACTGAAGACGCTGCCACTAAGCATATCGGCAGGTATGCTGGTCGAACAGTCCTTTCGTTGTTTGACTATCAGCTTAACTTTCTTTGCTCACCATCCTTCGAGGAGTGGTGGAAAAGTTACTACACTGAGGAGTTTTTCGACGAGAAGGACTTCGTGGGCGAACTTCAGAAGTCTTTTGTTCTTGTCTTGGACAAAATAAAGAAATGTAAGTTCATCATTCCAAATTACTTTGTCTTTCCCTTTCGACTGGTAGCCTGTTAATTATTTTGTCTACTTTCAGTTGTTCGAAAGCCTGCAGCCAAGAAGGCTGCAGAAGGCCATCAGGGAGGAGGCCCCTTAACAAAACCTCCACCACCGGCGAAAACTATAGCGCCGGCGAAGACCACAATAAACCAACAGGGGGAAGGCCCTTCGAAAAAGCCTTCTGCATCGGTAACCAGACTTTTATCATTTTCTTCTGGCTTTAACATTCTGACTTTCGATGCAGCTTCTAAGTCGAACTCCAATTGGTTTTTTAGGCACCTTCACCCAAGAAACGACCAGCACTGACGGTCGAATCTGGGAGTGACGAAGAAGATGATTCTCCCCCTGCTCCTCTTAAAAGACGAAAGCTGAAGAAGGATGTTCCTCTTCCTGAGGCTCGAACAATCAGAATAAAGGTTGCTGGGAGAAAGCCCAGGCCACCTCCAGTAATCATTGAAGAGCCAACGGAGGAGGAACTAAATGTTCTTCTCAATAAACCTGTCGAAAGCGACAATTCCAGCCCTGGGGCTGAAGCTCCCTTGCAGGTAATCTCTTTGATCCCTTTTTAACTCATGTGTCGATTCCCACGTTCGATTAGGTCTCCTTCTAACCTAGAAGATTCTTCTTCTCCTTTTTTCAGGACACCATTGAAAGCTCAGCGCCAAGGACTTCTGAAACATTGGACTCTGCTAAACTCAGTAGGCCACAAGAGAAAGACTTGGCGAACGATGAAGCCAACACTGAAACAAATGAAGCCAATGCTGAGACAGCAGAACGAACCAACAAAAGATCCACAAAC